TTCGTCTCTCACTTTCTGAAGCAGTTCAATAAGAAATTTGCTTTACAAATGGCGGGGTGCAAATCTAAGCTGCAGTGACATTTAAAGAATGAATCTGTGAAAATGTGAAGGCAGTAAATGGAATCATCAAATAGGAGCTGGAGTTTGGTGCTTGAAGATGAGGTTGATCTTGGTCCATCTGGCATTTGGTCTTTCATGCCCCATGTGGATTAAAGACAGCCTCCCATACCACACCCCGTTTGCCAGGATGCCAGGGATGCTTTTCGACTGTGTTAAGCAAAATGTTTTCTCCTTGTTTGCCATTCTTACCATTGCATTCTGGGAACCCTGGTGGTATGAAAGTTCAGCGCTCAAGTTGGTGATTCCACTGCAGCCATGGCTTGATGGCCTGACATACTGCTCCCGTGGAGATCACAGCCTAGAAAACACTGTGCTGCAGTTCATTTCGGGCACCTGGGTCACTCTGAGCTGGTAGCAACCTGGCATTGGGTTTGTAAGAAATGGAAAAACAAGTTGAACTCTACAAAGGAAACTCAGGAGTGGCCAGCTTGGCATGAGGAGGGTGGGAGGGGGAAGCCGTGGACTAGCCAGAAGGAAGGTGACGCGTTCTCTTTAGGAGCACCAGGCAGGAAGATGAAGGCACAAACTGAAGGCCAACACCAAGAGCACGCAGAGTCACGTCCCAGGAGGAAGTGGCAAATGGCCCTGGCACGATTCCACCAGCAAGGTTTTCTGCGGGAGCTGCTGTGACGGGTACTGGACATGGCCATTTCAGAGCCTACCCATGTTGCCAAGTGTGGTCCCAAGAAGGATCTCCTTTAATCCGCACTCCACAGTAGGAGGTATGCATCCAAACCCCATAGCCATTGAGTCAATTCTGACCCCCCAGCGATCCTATCAAAGACAATAGAGCTGCCCTACAGAATTTCCAAGGCTGCATTCTTTATGGAAATCTACCACCACAATGGCTAGGGGGTTCCCCCTGCCAACCTTGCCCTTAGCAGCCAAACACTTAAGGACTGTGCCACCTGGGTTCTTGGAGGGCAGTACAATGGGGAGTCTTTGCGCACTGTGGGGATTGTGGGTTTTCTTGGCTAGTACATATCAGAGGCCAAGGCTGAAACATAGTTCATGATTCTAGATCCAGTGTCCTTTCTGTAACAACTGTGGAGGCGTGCGGCATGCTTTCACCGGATCTCGATCCAGTCGATCAAAGCCAACCATTATCTTCATGTCCCATCCCACTCCCTCCCCAGTGATCTCCACCCAAAATCAATTGATGGCTTTATGCAGCACAGAAAACTAGCATTCGAAACGTTGGAAATGTTACAACGGAATAACCAAAAGTGGCTGGTCCGCAGGGCCATGTTGTCAACGTGCCATCCTATAACTGCCTTTATCCTGAGCAAACCGCCTCATGGCAGTCACCGTACTTCAGGAACAAGCAAAGGTACGCACCATCCTGACTCCCATTGTACAACCGTGAGGAGCAAGACTCGTAAACACTGAGGACCTCATCGAATGGCATGTGTCCTAAAGATAATGAGACGGATGAGCTGTCTCATTACGGGCCTCTATAGAGCTCTGCGGTGACTTTGGTCCCTATTTTTCCACTAACTACTGTAATATTTGAGAGAAGCCCTGGTGGCATAGTGGATTACCTGGTGAGATGCTAACCACAAAGTTGGCAGTTCTAAACCACCGGACACTCCTTGGGGGGGGAAATGAGGCTTTCTACATCTGTAAAGATTTACAGCCTCAGAAATCACTGTGAATCAGAATAAACTCAATGGCAGTGAGTTTAAAGTTTATTTATTTTAAGTGTGTGATTCTGGGCTGGTTGTATAAACCCTTGATTTCATTTTTCTTCCACTATAAGCTAACATGGCTGTCAGGGTCTGTCCATATTATCTCTAAAATGACTCACAAGAATATAAACACCAGGCGCTTTCTGAGGTCCCCTGGAAGGAGAGATTGGAAGGATTCCAGAGCAAAGAATGATACTCTAAGAACAGACTTTGTCTAGCCTGTTGGTTCCCTCTCCCAAACATGATCCAGGGAGTGAGCCAACAGATAAAGCAGGATATTTATTTTCGTTTGTCACGTGGACAAGTGCTTCTTTCAGGCTCCATCAAACACGCAGAGCTTGGTGGAGATCACAGCGGTGTCGCTGAGTGGAACTCTCCCTTTCTCTCTGCCTCCCCTCGAGGCCCAGGACAACGCCTTTGAAGGTGAACCAGGAATCACTGATCAATCTGAAGCCTCCACGAGTTATGATTCTTCACCCCTGGCAGAGCGAAGTGGATGTCAAGCGAAAGGCCCACCCTCTGTGCTCGCTGGAGTTCAAAGATTCCAGCTGTGTGGAGAACTTGGGAGCGCTGTAAGTAAGCTGTGTTTCTCCAACCGAAGCAACTTCTTCCTTCTCCCCGGGAGCCCTTTGGCTCATATGGGCTTTACTCCTCTGTCCTTCTAACATGTTTGAAGGGTGATTACTGCCTGAGGCTTAGTCAATAAAATATCTCCTGGGGGGTTCTGCTTCTGCTGAACAGAAGAGGAAAAGTGAGAGTCTTCAGAAGTGGCTTTGCTCAGGGAAGGCTCGTTTGGAAAAGTGTGCCTTCGTTGCCAGCTGTGTCCGGCGGTAGGTGTGTAGCTATGGTAGTGTGTATGTAGTATGGATGGAGGTGTGTAGCTATGGATCTCTAGCGAGGGGAGCTCAAGGCTAACACGGAGACTTGAGGGAGCAGGCAGCAGTGGTTCATAGCGTCCCGTGGGACCAAAATATTGAGTCTGTGCTTTCATAATTCAAATTTAAGGAGCGTCCTCCAGTGTGAACGGCTGTAGAATTTAATGGGAAGGAAAATAGACATTCAATTGGATAGGATGGATATTGTGGAGATGCCCTTGCAAGAGCATCAGTCCTGTGCCCGGTTGACGCTGGTTAAAGGGGATGCTTTATTGACTGCTGATTCTATTACAGCAGTGTGCTCCTCACTCCACGTGCCCCTCAGCGAGAAGGCAGTTATCTCCATACATGCAAATGAGCATCTGAGCTCAGAGGCTGTAGAAAAACTAAGGATTACATGGTTATCAGCTGCTGTCCAGATGATTCTGACTCATAGGAACCTCACGAACGGATAGCACAGCTCCCATAGGGTTTCCGGACTGTCACCCTATGGGGGAGTTGGACTGTTACTATCGTTAGGTCCAATTGAGTCAGGTCCAACCCATAGCAACTCTATGCACAACAGAATGAAACACTGCATGGTCCGGAGGCACCTTCATGATTGCGCCTGTGCTTGAGCCTGTTGTTGCAGCCATGTGGACTCTGTTAGAGGTGCTTATAGGCATGGATGGCATCATCACATAAGTAATGCATTGTATTTGGGTACCTGCATCTCTGTTAGAGGTATTTTTTGTGCTTGTTGATTGGGAAGTCCTGGAGAGACGCTAAGTTAATAGGAACAAAATACTTTTATTCTGACCCACCTTTTCAAGGCGCGATTTCATGAGACCCTGTTTCACGAGCTTCTCCAGGAGCGCAGGTGCCCTTATCCTGCGCCATCCATCTGGGGCGCAGGAGCTATAGGGAACATGTATCCCGATTTCTCACACCCTCTCCTGCCCTCAGGCCAAGCACCTCCCAATGTCTCTGGATTAAAAATCCCCAAAATAAATCCTGGGCATTGCCCATCTCCCAATTCCCTGGGAAGCAACCCAGAATGACAAGACCAACGGCTCTTCACTTTAATTAGTATTTGACTTCGTCTCTTCCCTTGAAGAAATGGTGGGTCTATTTTCTACAACCTGTGGTGAGGCATGCTCTTTCCTCATACATGGCCAGTTGTCAGCACATACACAAGACACTTACCT